TACTCTTTTTTAAAGCTATTCTTCTCTCACGTTAATATTAAAATCCTAACTGTATGACATTTAAGCATAGTAAAAAGTAAAGTCATTTAAAAAGTGTTAATTAAAAATGCGTCAAAGAACTACTAGACCTACTTCCCTCTTGATTACCTCTTGCTGTAAACGCAACACTCTAGGGTTGGAAATTTAATATCTTATGCTATAGCAAAATACACCTTGTCACTACAAAATACAGTCTATTTTGGTATCAGCAACGTGAGATGTGAGCACTGGAAATCAAGATATACGTATAGATTTTGATTTCACGCTCCTGATTATTTCGCGACGGATGAGTTTCGGAAAATCAACATTTGATGTGCATACACGACTTCGTTTAATTTAGTACTTGATATACTCAACTGTGTTTAAATGGCGTTATTTTATTATTTCTATAATGTTTTTTTACAAATACCAATCTTGAATATTTAATTGGTAGTTTTGTTAAATATTGTTCACTTTTCCTTCCCATCCTTCTCTATATAGAATAGATGGGAAGGGGATTAGATGAAGGAAAGGGACGTATAAGAAGGGGAAATATTCTCTTTTTGTGCGTCTCCGCCTACATCGATTAAAGTTAGGAAACACATTTTGGAATGCGGATATCTATGGGCATTGGTCGTTTCGACATTTTTTTGTCTATTTTTATTACATTTATTTTGCAAATGAAGCAAGTTATAAGTAATTCCAAATAGCAATTGAATCGGTTAACTAAAATCATGTTTTTAACTTGGATAGTTATTCCTAATATTACGTCGCCGTGCAATATAATTTTAAACTAAGAAAAGTAATTTCTGCTATTGAAAGTAACCTATTTATCCAAGAGTCTAGTATTAAATTTGAAGTAGGGCTCCCGTGAATTATCACGGGAGCCCTACTTTCGTACAAAGCGAGGGAAAATAACAAAAGAGGTAATATAGAATGAATAAACCCAGTAATGGAAGCAGAGTTCTCAAAGACTTATGAACGGTAAGTTTTTGTGGTTGCTTTTAGGAGACTAAATAAGAAATCAGGTCGGGGATTTTGTTAATGTTCTTGTAGAAATTGTATTTAAGATTTTTATAATTTTGGTACTATCAAAGTATTCGCCAAAGTCCGGTTACCTAATTAGGCCAAAAATATAAATATAGGTTCATATTATTATTAAGATTAATCTCGGAAACAAATTATTTGAACTATATCCGTTGCTTTTTTGTGCGGAATCGTTTACTTTAAAAAGGATTTGTTTGGAACAAATATTTTTAGAAGGTAAACCTTTCCGGTCCAACATTACAGTAAAATTACGTGAAAGCTTTTGCCGTTTTCTTTTGTGTTTCTTTTTATCTAACTTCTAAGGAGTTTTAAAAGGAATAAAATACCGTAAATGAAGAATAACATACAAACTAAGTTCTAAGTTTGTACCAAAAGGTCAAAGCTCTGGCAAATACATTTAAATTAAATCGATAATTTTCATGACGCTTCCGTAGTCCGTTTACACACCTAACATGAATGTGTCCATTTGTTAATATAATTATGTCTAAATGTAATTAGAACATAAGCATTAAAATGCCCAAGAGACATTCGTAGTATATTTGAGTAAAAAAATAATGAGGCTATGAAATTTACCCAATTAAAAAAAATGTGATAACTTTAATTTTATGGTTGTATTTTGTAGAATAATATATTAAATGCTAGTAACAGCTTATACAGGTAATATGGCTTAAAATAGAACTTTAAAAAAAGTTTATAAACCTTCAAGCGTTGCAGTTTTTTGCAACACGCTATGTAAAATGCTGTGCTATCTAGGTACACATTTAGGTGTACCTTTAGAAAACATAACTTTTGTATTATTTTTCCAAAAAAAAGTAAGAAAATCCTTCACATATTACTTTTTTCAACTCTGATTACTCTACTGTTCTTACAAGAAACCAATACCAAGAAAAATACCTCTTAATACTTTTTTTAAATTTAGAATTCCACCAATTACCGGCAAAGACGCGTGTCATCTGTCAGCTATGACGTTGACAAATCATCCTCATGTCAGCTCCACGAAAAGGATGCTATCAGCTTATTATCCGCTCCCAGACGATTTACCGATGACTCCCCCTCCCACATACTGCGACTCAAAGTCGATTCTTTAGTACCGTCATTTAGTACGACGTACGACCATCGGCAAAGCTTCAGCGGACGAGTAATAGCATTACCCGTGGGTTTCTGAGACAAAAATCTCAGTTTAAAAGATATTTTTATCTCTGTTGTTTTTAAAGAAAGACAGGGACGACGATATAGTTTATACAAAGATTTTGGTCTCAGAAACTAACTGTAAGTAGACTATATCTTTATATTTCATCCTTGTGAAATATATTTTATTTATATTTCGTTTTACTAAATAACAAAATATACTCATAATAGTTAAAAAAATCTATGAATATCTAGTTAGGAAATCTACAAAATTTTAATTGTAAATCTTGATCGCGGGAAAAACGTAATTTTTGGATAGATAACAAATCTTTCCAATATATTTCTAATAAAACGTTTATAGATACATCAGACATATTTAATTTTCATTTGATCCCAAACTGTCACTTCCAGTTGTCGCAAATAAATGTTATCAAAGCATAACAATTTGCTGTAATTTGCTTACACTCGTGTCGCGTTACACAATTTAAATAATCATATTATTAGACTAAACAATGGGTAATCAAATGATTGTATGTTATATCGCAATTGTCCTATATTCGATGTTAACATATTAACTTAAACTAATACTGTTGCTGCCCGAATTAATGTTCACATTTTTCAGTACTTTTTTTATAACAGAAGGGGGCAAACGAGCAGCGGGAACACCGAAGTGTTCAACGACGCCCATGGACATGAGCAATACCAGAGGAACCGCAGATGCGTTGCCGGCCTTTGAGATAGTGATAAGCTCGCTTCTTGAAGGACCCTAAGTCGTAGCGATTTGGAAATACCGCCGAGGAAAGTTACTTGTACCTTCGAAATCAAATGAAAAATCCGCGCCTGGCAATATTATAAAATACTGTAATGTAAATAAGGAGGTTAATTATATTAGCAAACAAGCAAAGTTTTGTTAACTTCGGTTTTATCAATCTAAAATTATACTAAATATAATTTTGCATTTTAGCCCATTTACTTTTAGATATTATTAGTTAGAATCCTTTGGCGCGAATGGTGCGCTTTCATTAAAATCAAATGTCAGAATGATTAGTGAGGGGACATAAACGTCGACATTTAGTAGGGCTAGTGTTGTGCCAGTACACCGGCACAATGTCGGATTTTCTTCCTAACAATACATAGGACCCATCGATTTAATAAGTTAATTTTTCTGCCATTAAGTATACAAGTTCGTAAAAAGTAAAAGAACATTAAAATGTTTTTCAGTTCTGTAGCAACAGGCTGGTGTCGAGCAAAGCCAATCTATCACCGAGTGTACTCAGACTTGGACTCTATCCAAGATAATTAAACAGGTGTCTCCAATGCGATGCCAGTTGTTTCCTCACAAATCTTACACCGGATTCGAATACTAATACCAACGGAATAACAACCATCTACATTCACTTGCACTATTGCAAAACTGCATAAAGATGCGCGTGCGTCGCGAAAGTGCAACGCTTTGTGCATTTCTTTCTTACATCTAGATCTTAATGTACTTTAGAATATATTTTTATTCTTTCCTTATAATATCGTATGAAAATTAAAAGAAACCGCGATTCAGTCAACGCTACTATAGTTAAATTTGAGAGAATATAAAGCGTAAGGTAAAAAGCGGAAGTCTTTTATGTTGGGTTTTCATTGCCAAAACTCTTACAAAAACATATATCGTCATGTCCAATTATTTTTACAACACCAACAACAAAATATTTTGTAATTTTTTTTTGTTGCGTGGAAATGTTCTATTACACTGTTAGAGTTTATTCGATAGTGTTTGGTATTTTACATTTCGATTAAACCGGAAGGATGAATTGCCAAACACCTAATTTATCACTTTATACCATGTGGTTACGCGTAAAACTGTGTTGTAAATAAGTTATAATACATATACCTGCGTTTCTATTGCTAAAATATAGTAATTTTATTGAGAGAAGAATATGAATATGAAAGAGCATAGGCTACTAATTAATTTTTTTTATTCCGCGCGGACGAAGTTGCGGGCGACAGCTAGTAAATAATAAATTGAATTGTACAAATGTCGGTCTAGTTATCAATATACAATTTAAATATTATATTTTTATTAATTATATATTATACTGTATCATATAAAACACGGTTATTTAATTTATTAAATTAAAGATCAATTGGCGTATCAAATTCAATAATATAAATAAACATATATTAAGTAAAATATATGTTATTTACAACAACGACTATTATAACATAATCTCAATCGCATTTTACAATAATATACGCGGAGTCCTTTGTTTTCTAAAGACAGCATAAGTTAATATATACCTACCTAGTTAATTAAATTAAGGTGACAAATGTTACCTGTGTTTAAAAAAAGAATATTAAATTTGAATCTTGGTATATTATATATCATTGTCTTGTACCTAAAACAAGTTAACAATCATTTCCGTGTACCCTCAAATTGAGAGGAAAACTTCTACTTACTGGTCGAAGAAAATTTGATATCAATTTAAGATCTGCATTACAAAGAAGTAAAATAAATTAAGATGCATCGGTTTAATCGAATATGTTCTGTCAATTAGTGGCCCCAAAAATTCTACAACTGGATTACAAATCGCGGCGCAAGGCACGTAGGTACGTAGAGATGGCGGGGAAGCTGCGCCGTGCAGCCTCCGCTACGGGCGTAGTATATGCGTCCCGCCCTACCCGCTTCCTGCCTCCATTTCAGGACCCGAGATAACAACGCCGCGGAACTACTTTATCTATGAAACGACCACTTTAATTTATAAAAATAAACAGAACGTGCACTTTTTAATTTAATATAAAAACAAATACGAACGTACAGGAGGTAAAAGGAGTCGAAGATGATCAAGGAGGTTTCACTCGGTACGTGTATATGCGACAGCGCGCTCCGCGGGATACTGGCGACGAGCAGCCTCCGCGGCGCGAGGGGCGTGCGGGGGGCGCGGGGCTGCGCGGGCTCCCGCCATTAAGGTCCCGAGCTACGCCGCTCCGATCTCGCAAAGGGGCCGCCCGGCTCTGAGGAAAAGCATCAGGCTTTTTTGATTTTTGTCCCTATTCAGAGTTTTCTTAGAACGGAAACTACATAGCTTGTATTCAACAAACGTTTATCCGACTTCAAGAAATATACCTTGCTACCTCATAAAGTTTTATGTTCAAAGCAAGTACGGTAACAAAATTATTTTAATTTCATTACTTCAATCTCATTTGAAGCGTACTCGCAAAGGTGGAGGGTGCTCCCTTAACAATGGAGAGTGTGCTTTAACTCATTAAATTTGCTTGACAAACAATGTTCCTTATAATACGAAAATATGAGTGGCAATTATTGTTTGTTACGACAGCGGTTATTGGATCTACCTTTAAATTTCCACGTTCCCGGATCGAATACCAAGCGATAAATAAGTCGAATCAGTATTAACAAAGATCAATTCAAAATATTGTTGTTAAGACGAATAAAACTTAATAAATTATGAGTTAGTTGTCTATTAAAGACATAGGATGTAATAGAGTATCGCCTCCCAGATGTTATATTTACTTTCACTGAAATTCGAAACTCGTACACACATTGCTACAAGTTTCATTGACCGCTCACTTTATTATATCTACTTAGAATAAAATACTATTTGAACTATCTATTTTTAGGCAATCTATGATCTAATTTTGGATGTTTACCTTAACCATTAAATTATTGTGATTAATCGTACGGTATTCTTTAGGACGTCTGAAAAGGTAAGATGGCCTTATAATAAAATTATTCATAATATATATTTTTGCTTGTACCGTTATATGATTAACCAGTGGGTTTCTGAGACTAAATTCCCCGTTTAAAACATATTGTTATAGGCCATGGATTATAGGTTACATATGTTAGGCCCACAGTAATGTAACAAATTTTAACTTTGGAATTGGACACTGGGTAGTACAAACTGGGACCAGTAAAAAGCTTAAGCTAAAATATCACTCTTTTCCAAGTATGTTTAATGCAAGATTTAATTAACACTGTTTAAGATACTTACGAAATGACATTTGAACTCAAAATTATTATCACAATGGTTCTATAGGAGAAAGTAATTTATTAAATCCCACGACATTGTAATTAAGTACTTTAAATGTTACTACTTATTATAGTTAAAAGTTGTCGGAGCTTTGAAACTAAAACATAAAACTTTCCAGTTAAATAATTCCAGACTGTTTAGAAAGTATAACTCCAGCCTTTTTAATTATATTTTCTATTCATATTGGACCTTTTTAATACCTCTTTTTAACTTTATCTGAACCCTTAGGCACTACCTATCCTTCCAAGAGTTACTAGAATTTAACACTTTCACTGCCAATATGATAATAAAGTGTTAACACGCTCAGTGCCACTATAACTTTTAGGATATCTTCAATAAGGTTTTTTTTTCATATTTTAATAATTAAAACATAGGAAATTGTAAAATATACATTTATTATATAATATTACATATTAAAAATATGTCAAAGTTCACTTAAGATTTATTTTTCGTTTTAAATTTTTGAATAGGCTTTGCAGACTTTGTTTCTTTATTCTTGTTTTTGTTATTGATTTGTCCGATTTTTTTCTTTTTCTTCATTTTATTTTTCAACTTCTTTGAAACTTCCAACTGTACTTTTTCAGTAACATTTTGTTCGTTCTTACTAACTACAGTAGGATTGGGTTTTTTATTTTTGTTCTTTTTATTTTTCTTACCTTTCTTTTTAGGACTTTGTGTGTTACCAGAATTTGTGGAATCTTTTGACAAATTTTGTTGTTTTTCATTCTGGGCTTTTCCTGTTTCATCCGTTTTATCAATATTTAAATTTTCGTTAACATTTGACGTTTTTTCTTGTGCTTCATTTGCCGTGCCTTTTTGTTTATTTTTCTTGTTTTTCTTTTTCTTTCCCTCAACACTAACTTCTGCTTTTTCTTCTATTTCATCACTAATAACAATTTTATACATTTTTAAATAATTACTCTATCTTTATTCATTTTTAAAGTGACATTATATAGAAGGTGTAAACTAGATATGAAATTATGACTGCTATGAACTATTGGCCGGATTTATGAAGTAACTAAGTAACTAGCTATCGGCCATGACTCCGTCAGCGCTGAATTAAAAAAAAAAGTAATTAGTAGCCTATGTGTTCTGCCAGACTGTGTTCTATGTCTATGTTTAATTTCAGCGAGATCCCTGCAACTGCAATGGAGATATCTTCTAACAAACATCCCATCATTCCAACAACCCATCCATACATTCATATTTAATATGAGTAAGAAGCAGATTAATAAATTTACCTTTTGTCTTCCTTAGCTTTTTTCTTTTTCTGTGGCTCTTTTGTATCTGTTGGTGCCGGCCTTTTCATTGGACCATTAGTTTTATTGGTTTGATCCTCTTTTTCTTCCGATGTACTTGCATCACCATTCTCTGTAGCGACTTTCTCACCATCCACTTCTTCTTCATCATCTTCATCTTTAAATGGTTCCGGCTTGAAATAAAAAAAAACAATGATTATATTAAAAAAATACATGAAATAAAATAAAAAATTTAACAAAATGTTACTTACAATGACATTAGAGAACTTTTTGAGCTTTGCAACGAAAAATCCATCCATATTATGTGTATGCGGATAGAATCTTCTCGTCAATTTCAATGATGGATGGAACCTATGATGTCTATATTTCACGAAACCCTCAGTTCCAAAATCTAAACCGGTCGGTACTAATTTAACATTACGTCGTTTCAAAGCATGATTTACCACCCATTCATTTTCTTCGGGTAAAATGGAACATGTCGAGTACACTATGTATCCCCCTGTACTTGATTTAGCATTGCAACAGTCTATAGCGGCTAATAACAACTGTCTTTGAAGATTAAAACATCTTTGAATATCTTTCTGATCTTTTGTTGTTTTCACACTGGGATCTTTAGCGATAACACCTGTCCCTGTACACGGAGCATCCAACAAAACCCTATCAAAGCCTTTTATTACATTAGGGAATTGCCGTCCATCATAGTTACAAACTACGGCATTCACAACACCCAATCTGTGAAAGTTTCCTACAACAGCTTTCGTGCGATCTTTATTTGCATCATTTGCGAATAAGGCTCCGGTATTTTTCATGATCGCCGCAATATGTGATGCTTTGCCACCTGGTGCTGCACACATGTCTAAAATCCTTTCATTTTCTTGTGGTGCAAGTGCCATAACGGGCAAGAAACTTGAAGCTCCTTGAAGTATATAATGACCAGCTAAATATTCAGGAGTTGCACCGATAGGAACCGTTGAACTGTATATTACTAAGCCCACTTTACTCCATTTACCAACAGGGTCCAAATTGACACCTCTGTTGATTAATGCCTGTGCCAAATCTCGTCTTCTTGTTTTAAGACTATTAGTACGTATAGTAACAGGTCTCGACATTTCACTTGCTTCTAAAAATTCCACAAGTTCTTGTACTGGGAATATTTGCATGAGAATTTCCATTAAAAACTCATTATAGCTGTAATACGTACATAAATCTTTCAGAAGCAACTCAGTGTATTCACACCGAGACTTGCCTTCCTGCTTCAAACGGTTAAAGTCACCCAACACAGTAACTATATCCTTAATTCTTTGATGTATATCTTGTAGACTGGTTGGATTTTGCAATTCCTCCTCTGTGGGAAATGCAAAGACATCTTGTTTGGCAATGTTCAGTTGCATTTCTTCATCAGCTAATTTCTGGTTTAACTTTTGCTTCTTTTTGAGTTTCAAATTAGCTTTTTCAATTGGCAACATATCATCATCCTCTTTGTCATCACCATCTTTACCATCCCCTTCACTGGAATCAGAGTCATAAGCCATCTTTGGTGCGTCATCATCACTTTCTAAGCCATTTTCACCAGCATTCTCATTGTCAGAATCTTCAAATAAATCATCCAGTTTTCCAACCTTAAAACAAAACAACAGATACAATAAAAATGCAGTCAGTACTCTCAACATTTTAAAAAGCTACAACAGTTCATCTCTCCTTAATACAGTCAACCTGGATAAACAAAAGTCCAAGGGACTACAATATTTTTCTTGCTCATCAAGGTTTCTCGCTTATCCAGGTTTAACTATACAAATATTTAACATTAGTTTCTTCACTGTATAATACAATGAGATAGCAATGACTCTTCCATTCATTCTACATCTTTGATCAAATCAAGCAAGTATACCTTAAATTTTAACTGTATGATTGAAATTCATTCATTAATTTATAGTTGTTAATATAATTATAGTACCTTATAGTTTTCTTTGCCACCGGATTCTTTTTCATTGTCTTCTTCAACTTCTTCATTATCATCACTGTCTTCTTTACCAGAACCAGAATCAAGTTCAGAGCCAGACTCTTCATCACTCTCACTGACTGGTTTTTCCACTTTACTCTTTGTTTTAGTAGGTTTCTTTAATTTTAACCATTCTTTATTTTCATCAGTAAAGCCTAAAAATAAACATATAATGAGTACATTATTAAGTGAAATCTTTGTACCCTTTTTTAAGAAAATTGGAAGAAAGGATGAACACAAAATTAAAATTAAAGTGACAAATGCATAGAGTTATTTTTAATTAAAAGTAAAATAAATTACAACCGTAACTTCATCTACACAGAATTAAAAAAAACTGAATTACTAGCCTATGTGCTCATTCACACTATGTTCTACATCCCCCATTCTATAAATACTATCATACAAACATTCACAATTATAATATTATTAAGATATACAATTTTTCAATAAATAGTCAACATATAGTCAAAAGTAACAAAACAATTAAACTGAAATGAGTTCTCACCTCCTTTGACTTCTTCATCATTAGAAATGTCATCTTCACTCATTTCTTTTTTCTCATCCTGGTTAACATTCTTCTTTGCTTGTTTAGCAGCTTTCTTTTTTTCAACTAATTGAGCTTTTTTCTTTAACCGTCGGGCTACTCTCTGCTTTTGTCTGTGACTCAATTTCTTTGTCTCACTTTCATCTTCAACTGAAATATTAATACAATATGATGAAGTCATTACGGAAGTAAACTACCAAATTAAGGAGTTTAATAATTAAGAAGAATGTCACTTCATGAGTGAACATTTTTAGGAAGTTAATCTAGAAGATAAATTAATTAGTTCTTATAAGGAAATAATGAGAAAGGGTAATGTGGAAATAATGAGAAGATGTAAAGGAGGAGGGGACTAATAGGAAGGGAAATACTCTCTTTCCATGCATCCCCTGCTACATTGATTAAACTTAGGCAATACATCTGCAATTGCAGACGTAATCTAATCCATGGGTAGCGTTCGCTTTGCTATTCCGGCGAATTCGGGTGACAACATGCTCGTTCTTATAACATTAAAAAGCCTTTAACCTAGAGTTCCTATTTTTTATGTATATTGCCTTATATTTAACAAACCATATTTGATAATAATGTAAAATATTTATACTTACGAAGCTCTTTTCTAAAAATTGGATCGGGCTGTTTACGGGCTTTCCTACCCGGTCCTTTCTTAACTTTCTTGGTTTCGTCGAATTTTGCTTTACGTCCCATCTTAATGCATGCCACGTGGTTTCCTGATTGTTTATGATAAAAGCATAAGTTTTATTTAAAATACTTAACTATTCGTGATATTTACATCAGGCAAACACCACGCTTTCACTTAAGAAACACGTGCCGGGAGAAGGAAAGACGTTGTCGTTGTCAATTTTTGACATTAACATTTACAAAGAGTAAAATGTAACGACAAAAAATGAGTTAACCATAATACCTAAATTCCAAAATGAAATTAGAGAAAAAGTAAAAAAAAAAGACAAAGTGTATGCACAACTACCACTTAAAACAAATTACAAAAGGTACAGTCAGACTTTATATTCTTGAGTTAAGTTCCTGTGATGAACTTGGTAGCCATTTTATTTGCAAACTTTTTTTCTACAATCCTCATTTTTTTTAAGTCAAAATAGCAAAACAGTTCTGTTTATTTGGCGTATCTTTTAAAATGGTCAAAGCAATTTTGAAGCCATGTTAACATTCGAAAAAAGATTCAATAATATCCTATTTATCTCAATAGTTTATGAAACTAATTCTTGTGCTTTAATTTCGAAACTTTAAAATCAACTATAGATAATATGTCAACCAGGAAACTACTTTTTTTACTTACTTGAAAAATATGCTAAACAAGATGTTTATTGGTGGCGATAAGATCATAAAATTTTACTCTGTCATCCAGAATAAAGTCATAAAGATATGACCTAAAGGTCTATGTTACCAGGTCATAAAATTAAAAAAAAAGTCAGAGACAGCAGAACCAGAACAATTTTAAACAAGTGTCAGTGTCATGTTTATATTGATGTGATAGTATGACACTCAGCTGAAAAATTGAAATTTTATTATATTTTGCTAAAAGCAGTCGCCTGTTATTTATAAGTTTTAAAAAATAGTAAAAATGGAAAAATTGTGATAATGTGTGTCATGTTTAATTTTCCTGAAAGATAGTCAATAAAATAATGTTATTCTGTAAAGGTTATTCATTGGGTTTAAATATTAATTTATTGCGACGCACCCTAATTTGGTAAAGGATTATACTTTGTTATATTGATAAAAATTACGTGTCGTAACCATTTAAGTGCTGGTTTGCGTAAAATACCTATAAGATTTTTTCTTCCCAAAGTTTTCAGGGTCATCACATAAATAGATATGAAGGCAACAAGTCAAGTATTCATTGTCAGTGTCAAGTCACGGGCCAACAAAGTCGAAACTTTTTCAGCTTTTCTAAGCCCAGTCGCAAAAGAGAATATACTGGAAGGCAACTTGTAGGGTAAGATTTTTATAATAGTATAACCACACTTATTAATTTTTTTTAAACCCGAAAAAACAACATTTTGTCAAATGTAAATATCACATATAAAAATCTCCTGTATATAATTTCGATATTAAAATCCAATCTCTGTGTCACTACAATTATGTTAATGTGTTTAATATAGTATAAAATATGTATTAGCATAATTGTTCATAACCCCTTTATGCATTAATTTTCAAACACTGCTGTATTGGGTCTTAAAATAAACATGTTCTCTCTATAACTACTTGTTATATTTTAAAGTCTTTGTTTTTATTTTATAAAATTAATGTAATTGCAATTGCTTACTTTTAACTTGTTTCAGATATTCCATGGATCAGATGTTTGAAGTTGTATCAGATGTAGAAAATTATTATAAATTTGTCCCATGGTGTAAACAATCCATTGTGTTAATGCGAGGACCTGGACACCTTAAAGCAGACTTGATTGTTGGTTTCCCACCAATAAATGAAAGTTATACATCTAATGTTACCTTAGTAAAACCATATTTAGTGAGGGCTGAATGCATGGATGGCAGGTTATTCAATCATATGTTAACTTTATGGAGATTTAGTCCTGGGTTAAAAAGAGAACAACAGTCCTGTGTAGTAGATTTTCAGATATCTTTTGAATTTAGATCAGCCCTTCATTCTCAACTGTCAAATTTATTTTTTGATCAAGTTGCAAGACAAATGGAAGGCGCTTTTATTCGTGAGGCGGGAAAAAGACATGGTCCTGCTACAATGCAGCCAAAGAATTTACTACTTAATAACCAAACTCTAAAAAGTTGACAATAATTGTCAAAATTCATAGTGAAATTACAAAGTTTGTATTTATTTTCTAGTTAATTAATTTGAAACATTATTTATTAAAATTCCGACATAGAAGCAAAGCTTCATGAAATAATAAAAAAATACTTAAAAGTAAAAATTGTTTAATTACATTTGACCACACTGAGATATTGTCACTGGTATTTTGGGTTTATTGTTAGGTCCTGTTGGTACATTTTCTATTTTTCTCATAACTAATAATCCATCAATAACTCGTCCGAATACAACATGTTTATTATCTAAAAAGTTGCATTTTGCACAAGTAATAAAAAATTGACACCCATTGGTATCTTTACCACTGTTAGCCATTGAAAGAAGGCCTGGTGAATCATGTTTTAATGCAAAATTTTCATCTGCAAATGTACTTCCTCCATAAATACTCATTACACCAGTGCCATCACCCTATAAAAAGAAAAAGAGACTTGTAAAAAATATTTCAAAGAATGCAATAGGTAGATTTAACTAAGACTTACATTTACAAAGTCACCACCCTGTATCATGAAATCCTTGATTACTCTATGAAATGTAGCTCCCTTATATCCCAATGGAACTCCATCCCTTCTATATTCGCCTGTACAAAACTCTCTGAAGTTTTCACTAGTTTTTGGTACAACATCGGCAAACAACTCGAAAATCATTCTACCAATTTCCTGACAACAAAAAAGAACCTTTGAGGTTATTACAGTTAACAAATCAACACAGTTTCTTTGAGTCATGCAATGCTTGTTAGCCAAACTTAAAGTATACTTACAGTTGTCCCGACTGTGACATCAAAAAAAACTACAGGATTATTTGGATTTCTAAGTTGAGATTGAATTTGGTTCCAAGTAGGCATTTTGGACAAATGATAACTAATGGGTTATCGTTTGTTTGTATCCTGCTAAGTTTCAAAACTTATACAACGATTTCCTCATCAGATATAATAAATTATAAAAACACAGACGCTAGGTTACTGGTTTAATTGTATTTTAGTTCTGTTTAGTTTGTTTACAAAGTTTGAAAATCCACACCACAATGGACAGTTTTTGAAGTTGACATTGACATTTTTTGTCCTAAAGTATTTTTTTTTAATAAATGATAAAAAAAAAAAATTTCAAATTATTTCAAGAAGTTTTGTAAAAATAACATTTATCAAGTACAAATCAAAATCATTATTTAAGTTTATCTTATTAAATGGCTTTGAGAAAAGCCTTTAAACTTTGGTACATGCTCTTGCTGTGTCTATGACATTGACATTTGACAAGTGAAAACAACATTTTCGTTTCTATAATAAATGGTCGTAAAATAAACTTAAAATTTCTTTACATCTATAAATTAAAAACCTATATAAATTAGTATCATATAAAATCGAAAACCCGTGATATGTACTTTCTGTCACCGATACAGTATGGAATCTGAGGTTATAGATTATTATGAAATCTTACAATGTGATAGAAATGCAACATTGGAAGAGCTTAAAAGAAATTATCAACGTCTTGCATTAACTTGTCATCCAGATAAGAAGATCTCAAGTGAAGATAACGAGAATTTCCTTAATATTCAAAAGGCTTGGACAGTTTTAAGAGACCCTCAGTCCCGGAAAGAATATGATGCCTTGCTTTCTTGTGAAGAGCATCGTGAGTTGCTACTGTATGACTCAATATCAGTACCAGATCTGAACTACAACAGTTGTAGTAGTGTTTATACATATCAGTGTAGATGTGGGGGATTGTATTCTGTAACCAGTAGTGAATTAGTGCCACCTAAAACTTATGTGGAGTGTAATGAATGTTCGCTTTCAATACAAATTGATGTACCTTCTTAACAAATTTAGTGGCACAAACTTTCTTAAGGAGTTCATTTTCATACCAAAAAACTGGTATGGATTGCACTGAATTTCAATGTTGAATTGTTAGTTGTAAGTTTTAATTCTATAAGTAAATAATGTAAATAAATGTTAAAATAATAATATATAATTGTGGCATTTTCATTACCATTATACCGACTGCCTTACCTTATTTACTTACTTACCTTACACATACTTTTGGGGGCCAATGTGGGGCTTGCATCAACTAAAACACCGATGTAGTCACAAACAGTGGTAGAGCCCGCTTTAACATCTTCGCACGAATCGGCCCGGCTCGCCTGGTGAAATACCACGACCACACAGAAGACAGGCGTGAAGTGGAAGCAATTCCGCGTTTCGTCTGATGAGTGTGCGTCCCGGAGGCCAAAATTAGTCCTCTTTCCCTTCCCACCCTTTTTCTTATTATATAAGGAAAGGATGGGAAGTGGAAGTGGACTTTCCCGATGAGAGAATGCATGAAAAGGGAAAATATTTTCTTTCTATGCATCCTCTCCTCCGTCGATTAAAGGTAGGCAACGCATATGCAATTGCGTATGTCTATGGGCAACGGTCGCTTCGCTATTTCAGCGATTTCAGGTGACCGCTCGCTCGTTTGCCACCTTATGATATAAAAAAAAAAAAAAAACGGTGCTAAAAAGGGGTGGTGGGATCTGGGTTCAGAATACAACAGCCACTAGCTAATTTATAAAGCACTTATGTTTGAGTTAGAACTTAAAAGCATTCTAGTTATTTTCAATGAATCTGTTAATGAATTATGAAAAATTATAAGTCTGCTTATGTTTTTGTTGTAATTACTAAATAGCTGTCTTGCAATAGGTTTTATTTTGTGGAATGATTCAATAAAAAAAACATAGATGTTTAATAATACCATTTATTTTAATGGTTAGGCTTAGTACATAAATATATAATTTTGACAACATTAAATTATCATAATCATGGTTAACTTTATGTAAAGATGACTCATAACCTAAGGTACATATTTTGTACAACTTATTAATAGGATACATCCGAAGCAATCGTAGAGGAAAATAAATTACTAGCATTATATATAAATTTCGAGTGAACTTGAATAATTCTTTGTTTACAAGAATAATTCTTTATGTTAAAAGATCTAAGGCTATCACATTGCAAATCGTAATTCCGCACGAATTTTGTATTTTACAAATAATTGGCAAGAAACTAAAAGAACAAAAATTAAATACATCAATAAATTCTTTTATTTATATCTATAGAGAGTGAAGGAATAGAGAGATACTTAAACGAAAACAATATAGCCAGTTTTAAAGAAATTTGAATCAATTTGCCATACTACAACGAATAGCAAACTGTCCATGGCCGCCGTCACGGGGCGCCGTGTGCGGGCACGGCGGGGTGAGGGGCGCAGCGCGGCCTCCATACGCACTCCTTGAGATTACAACTTTTTAATTCACCAATCGTCGGCATTCACGTAGAAAACTGCTTTTCTAAACATTGGGCATACATAAATTATTTACATGCTATTGTGCACAGTTTTGTACTTTTAAATTCACATAAAAATGCGATAGAAGTCCAATAGTTTCTAACACGCACTGCAAGCGGTCGCTCCGCCGCAAACACTTCAGCATAGTCTCACTTTGTTCACACATCTGTCCATGAAATTCTTCTTCCTCTTGGTCTGCGTGGCAGCGTCTGAAGGCGTAGGCAAAGGGATTCTTTCGTGCGTCTCGTCTGCATCTAAAATTCCTTCGCAGCTTCGACATCTGCGGGACATCTTCTCGCTGTCTGTCAGTCTCTCGGGCAGGCTGTGCAAAGCCTTGGCGGGGGAAGATTTTGATGTGTTGCAACTACTAGGCAATTGTTCACAACTCTGGGAAGTCCTCTGCGAAGCTTTTTCTAAAGAAGATTGACGACTTCTCCGTGGTCTGAAAAGAAATTTTGCTTAATTTTTTGTACTGTTTTCTTTTAAACATTTTGAAATTGGAATGAGGATGCTCTCAGCATTGGAATATTTGCAATAATTACCGTGTAGGCGGTGTGGGCGGCAGCGTGAGCGGCGGGCGGTGCAGGGCGTGTGCGGGGTCTAGTCAGTCGGTCTTGTCGCTGGCGCGGCTCTCGCAGGAGGCCATGCGCTGGTAGCTGGGCGGACCGCGACCGATGGACGCCGTGCCGGGCGTCGCCACGTCGCCGCGACCTCGCAGACCGCCTTCCAGACGAGTGGCGAGGTTCGACTTGCCACGGAGGAAACTGGAAAACAATCAATGTTAATAACGCACTAAATATAACAGTATGAATTTAAAGCATTGTAAGAATTGTATACTGATAAAATTATATTTACTTGGTGCAATTTGATTTTTTTTTGGCAAATACCTTCAAATCAATTATTAGACCAATATTTATTTACTTAATGAATATGTCAATACCTTTCGAGTTTCTCGACGCAGGCGTCCTGGTAGTCGTGTATCCAGCGCACTCCGTTGAAGTGGCAGACGGCGCGCATGTCCTCGGGCAGCTCCTCGGGCTCCGGCCACTCGAAGTTGTCTATGATGGGCACGATGTTGCACTGCGACTGTAACGCCGCCACTATCTCCTGTACCAATACAACACACAATTAATACATAACAAAACTATCTTTTATTTAGTTTAATAACTTTTATTCTAATGCAAAAAGAAGTAAGAAATAAAAACTAAATAAGTAATTTTTTTTAAATTGTAACCACGAAGATCTTATTTTAAAATATACAGAATAATATAAATTTTGTATAATTGTGACAATAATGTACGTACCCGATGAACCCAGTCTTTTTGCTCTGTGTCATGCTTACACCTTTCTAGAGCGTTGGGTGTTAGCACTAATAGGAAGTTTTTGGCGTGACTTATGCTCTGCAGCAGGTTGTTGTCAAACTTGCCCGCCTCCAGCCGCTCCACATCAATAAACACCGTAAACCCTCGCAGCTGCAGGTGGACCTTTAATAGACTCGCCAACTGCGAACCATTCGACCGTCTGTAGCTCACGAAAACGTCCAGATTCTTCTCCATGTTTTCCTCACCTTTGCTTGGTAATGTACTTTCGTATACTGCAATCAAACAGATTATATCAATTATAGAGTGGACATTCCAATCATTTGCCTGCAAACAATTTAGTCTAAATTAGTAAAGTAAACATTTGTGGCAAACAAATGGTATTGAAACTCAGGCATATCAAATTAGACTTAATACCTAGTGGTAGCAAAAAAAGACGTGGATTATTTGTGTTGTCCTGTCTATTGATACATGTTGAATGTCTGCAGTTATGGTGTGAAATAATACGTGTAAAGTGAATAATGCTATGTAAAGTCTTGTATAGTGACTTATTTAAGGTGGAATTACACTATGTCCACATCAGGAACGCTGTAAGACATGTAAAGAGAAAAGATTTATGTCAATTGACAGTCCATTCTCAGTCCGAACTATCCTAATAAAAAAATATTCTATTTATACACGATAAATTATTAGAAATTCGAGAGCATTAACCGTAAATTACAACAAACTTATTTCTCATTATATTTTGATTATAAATAGAATACAATTTAAAAATAAAACCAATGTCCGTGACTTGTTGAAGAGAGGTTAGTCATACTCATTTAAATCTTGGCACACCTCTGTTGTTCTACTCTAAATCTATTAGCAAAATATATTTTATGCATCACCTTTTTCCCAATATTTTTGAGTTTAATAGTAAATTATTGCGCTTTGAAAGTCACGAAACCCTGATAACATGATGATTTAGATCTTCTAAAACTCTTTAGTTTATTTTTACTACGTAATAATATTTGAGAAAAATAAAAAAGTTTTTGAATAATAAATAAATACATTCACTAATAATAAATCAAAAGTCTTTGTAAGATTTTATGTCATAAAATATCGTAGGGTTTAATTTATTTGAGTAGATAAGAACATTAATTTTACGATCGATTAGTGTGGGCGACATGGCCACGGCAAAAGCAATTGTACAGCATTGCGCAATACTTAAGTTATTTACGTAGCTTTGACTAAGCGAATGATATAAGCACAAATATAAATATATTATGTCTGGTTAATTTATTATCTGTCTTAATTTATATTTAAACGAATAATCGTCTGTTCCTGAGATCAAAATTTTAATACACGTTATCTGTTTTTTATATAGATATTTTAGTCTCAGAAACCCAGGGTAAGAAATTTTCAGTTTTAAATTAAAAAAAGGAAATCATTGATTTAGTATGCCATGAGTTATTTAGTCACAAGGGATCAGTAAAAGATTAATAGATTGTAAAGATTTATTTCTTAACTAGATTTTTAGGTTATGTCAAGCTATGTCCTGAAAAGCGTACTATTCAGTTGTTCTCACCTCTTATAGCGTTGAGAATCCGTAGCCGATGTATGCTGTTGACGATGTGGCACTCGTTCTCCAGCTGCTCGTCACTGAGCCCCCGCATGGACTCCTTGTCCACGCCTGCATTCAGCATTGAATATGTGTATATTGTGTACTCCGGTCCTATTGACTGAAGGAATTCGTTAAGGCTGCCTGTATCCCGCGAACTGTAGTCCGCCATTTTCTTTAATTGTTGAAGTTCTCTCGTGAATCTGAAATAAGTTTTTTTTAAATAATAATTATTAAATTTATTAAACACTAGCTGTCGCCCACGACTCCGTCTGCGCGTAATTATAAAAAAAACTATTTATAAGTGTTTATATGGGAAAAAGGAATGTTTTAAAGGTTTTCTCGGCAATTATTCAAATTTTTCTCACCTTTTAAATTTTCATAAATTTTAATAAGATAAGATAAATCCGTTCAGCAGTTCTCGAGTTTTAGCGAAACTAACGAACAGCAATTGATTTTTATATACAAGTTAAATGTTTGTTTATATTACTGGGTACACAGAAAACAAAGTACTTTATTTAAATAAGAAATATATACCTTTTTCTTTTGATTCCGTTAAGCAGACCGATGTCTTCTTTGAGATTATCTTCACTTATTTGCAAGAGTAGATCACCGTCGACTCTACTCTCTTGGAAATTATTAGCGTACTCTGAGAAGCCGATCTGTTTGACCCATTCCTTCACATCCTCTATCGACCAGAGCGGTACTTGCTGCGACAGTTTGTGCGGCACTTCTTCACCTATTAGCCTCAACGCCTGTGCCGCGTATTTGGAAGCGACTGCGTTCGGACAACTGGCCACTTTCTTCAAAGACTCTATCGCTCCGATCTCTCTAAATATTTCAGTATTTCCTTGTTGCTTTTTAATACCCGCCTCCATGCAAAAATGAAAAGCGGCCAGGTTTCGAGCTTCCTCCCTTTTTGAACTCAAAACTGGCACCAATTTTTGTAGCCAATTCTTGCTCTGACCGTGTGCATGTGATAGATTAGATTTAGCAAACTCCGACGGATTGTGTGACGTGACGAAAGGTTCTACTAAATTTAGGGTCCCCGATTTCAGTACCGCCGCTTCGATTTCCTTGTTGGCGACTAGTACGGCGATCGCCAAACATGCGTAGTATTTAACGTTATCGTCCGTGTGGAAGGCGAGCGGGAACAACCACATCGGAACTTTCCTCTTGATCATAGCCTCCTGGTTCTCCGCGCCACCGTACAGGGAGAGGTTGGCGAGCGCAGTCGCACAATGCCTTAACGTTTCGATGTCATTCTTTCTGCATTCGAACAGTACTGCATCTAAACCTCCTAATTTGATGACGTCGCTGCACGTCCCCTCGCTATGTTTGAACAAATGCTCCAATATACCTGTCCGTACTCTCGAATGTTCCACAGAGTTCGCGTATTGCGTACAAATGCAAGCCACATTTACAACTTTTTCTAAACCATTTTCCACAACGTGTGCTCTATTCTCAGTCGTCAAACATTGTTCCAGAAGTTTCGCCGAAGAGAATTGTAACTCAGGATTGTTCGTCTCCACGCAGTTCTCCATCAGGATGTCCAGTCCGCCGGATGTTCTCAACGTGTTGCACAAGGAGTATCCCAGTTCGTGACCGTACGTGGGCACCGCCCATGCTCTCCTCATCATTTCGTTTAATTTGTTAAAATGTACTGAAGCATTTTTGATATCTATTTGATTGTTCTTTATAGAGTTTATAAATGCGTTCATCCTGGATGAATACTTCTGTATCGCTAAATCGACGTCCTTTTGGTTTGAGTTCGCATTCAGCTTGTCCAAATCTTCGAACGTTAAATTTGTTAGATCTTCATCGCCGGGTTTGATCGAACCGTTTAGAAGTTGACTCATCTGAAACGACAATGTACCGATATTAGTATAAAATTCCGAGTAACTTGCACTTACGTCAGGACACGCGTGTTGTTAGCGTGTTCATACAATAGTTTGATGCTACTGTTATCGAATCGTAAAAATTAGCAGTCGTGAATTGGCAGCGGGTATGGTATCCGTAATAAAACTGTTTTCTGTATAGCAACGTTAAACATGTTTCTGCATAGTATTTAATCTTATCATAGATTGATTCAAAGTATTAAGTGTGCTCCAATCAACAATGAAACGATTATTTGTACACGTTATACTTAGTATGTATATAATAAAATTATTTTTATGTTTTTTTCTCGAAAATTTAGGTCAGGTTCGTAATTATGATGTTATTATTACAAGAGTTCGCATTTATCTGTAGCTCGTACATCGCAGTCTCACGAAGGCCACGGTTACGGATAAACAACAATTATTTATCTCAAATGTCCAATAATAAAACATTGTAGAAATAATTATGTTTAATGAATAATGTCGCAACAATTGGACTGACCTGTGAGGAGAGCAGTGTGGACTTGGTGGAGAGGTTCTTGCTAGAGATGGTCATGTTGGAGTGCGCAACACTGGAGTGCTCTTTGTGACTGAACATTCCGCTGGAGGTGACAGTCTGTCGCGCCTGCGCCGAAGCCATAGCCTTCTTCTCTGCGCTAAACGCTTCCGTTTGCAGTCTGGAGCTGCTCGCCGACATATTATTAGCTTCTTGCGCACTTACTTCACCGGCTTTTAACGATCTTTGCTCCTAAAAATACAAAATTTAACACATTAAAAACCATTGAACACACGTAAACATAGCCTCTAACGACGACACTGTTTAACTTTATGAGATACGCTAATTAACCTAAACGATCTTATCACAACACCACTCTCATTTTGACATATTTGGCGTGCTCTTTTTAGTAACATGAATCATAGAATATTCGGTAGTTACAGGAATAAAGATACGCAATTTGGGCCTCGGTCGCCGTTTAGAAGACATTATCACCGAATCGAGCACGTCTCTTCGCGAAAACTGTATAAATACTGAAATTGAAAATACGCGTCGCAGCCGCTAGCGCTCTGGATATAGGCCAATCGCGCGAAACCCGTGGGCATCGCGACTATTTTAAAGTTTATGTGTACGGATGCGCGTACGTCACGTTTTCGGGAGGCCGGGTGATAGAATTTTCCGAAGGGGAACGAATTACCGAAGGGCCAAGCGGGACAGCAGGGTACCGCGAGAGGACGCGCCGGTGCACGGGCCAAGGAACAGACCCCCCGCCCGACATTCCACTTCTAAATTTAAAGTCGGCTATTCGCGTATCGGAGCGCGTGCGCAATACGGCAATACCACTTCCGCGTGCTACTCGCGTGTGCTCGCGCTCTGCGGCTCGCCTCGGACTGAGACAGGCATGGTGTGAGCACGATAAGCATGAGATAAACAGCTAAGGCCTCGGTCATATCATCGCACGAGTCGACGTTAATTAGCGGTCGCGCACTAATGATATTACACACAGCGGCCGTGTGTACAGAGCCTAACGTCCTCACCGCTCGCGGAGATCCTCCGCGCCTGAGCACTCTCGCGGTCCACGCTATGATGCGCGCCATGCTCTAGGAATGATCCATGCTGCTCGCTCCAACTGTCCGTCGCAATGAGCGACAGTGTACTGGCGAGGGTGCTGAGCGTCTCACTGCCGTCGCCTTGCGTCGGGCGCCCTGGCGTCGTGTAGTATCGATCGTCTTGTACACGCGAGGTTGCGTCCTTCGGCACGCCTTTGTAACTACAATTTCGTATCAAACTTTTTCGATCCGTTTTAATTTTTTGTCGCAAAATAGTTTGCGTATTTCTTTGGTTTAATGTACAATATGCGAAATATTTTTAACTTTTTTGCGCGTTATATTTGTATTATATTGTTCATTTCTACGCTAACAATTTATTGTTGTTTGTGACTGATAACAAAGAGCCAGCCGAGTACAATAGTTCAAGGTCGGGGTCAACGCGGCAATCGACTGCATACATACACTTCATATAAGTCTGGAGTAGAACAAGTTGACACGCTTAATTTTTCTCTACGAATATAAGGTGGATACGTCAAAGACATGCCTGAGTATATTAGGGCCTATATGTTTATCTAAAATTGATATATATGTTGGACTAAAGAAGTTTGTCCAAAATAAAGGAATATGATTTATCAGTCACTTACTTGCAGGTAGGCGTCATTCTGTTCGGCGGTGAGGCCCTCAGCCTGCAGCAGGCGGTGCGAGGCGCCAGCAGCGCTGCGCTCGGCGTATTGCAGATCGCCGTGCTGCAGCCGTCGCAGCCGCGCGCTGTTGGCCGCTGACCGCGATGCGCTGTACCCGTCTGCCACGACGCGCGTCGAGCTGGCCGAGGTTACACGCGATGTGGCGTACTTTAGCTCGTTGGGCGCGCCACTGCCGCTACCACCAACTGCCACAGGCACGTTGTTGCCGGCTAGCATGCACGCCTTGTCACTGACGGGCGGTGGTGTGTCCGACTCGGGGAAAGTGACAAGGGGCGCGTCACCGCCCATGTCACCGATATCCCCCATGTCGCTGTAATCTCCAATCTCGTCGAGATCCCGGATGTCCGCCAGGTGGCCGTCATCCTGATCCACTATGTTCTCCATCGAGCTTCTCAGTCTGCAAAAGACGAGTCTACACGTAAATGGCACGGAATCACTATCATATGTTCGAAGGAGCGCGTCAGTTTCGTCTCGGTTTTAACTTTAGAACATTTTTCGACAATAGATTGCGCGGAAGAGTCTGTCTGAGATAGTACTGTTGCTTTTGTTTGTCGGCGCGAAACTGCAAACGGGTGCGGGGTGCCGGATGGGAATTGGCCGGCCGCCAAGGCCTCAGGTGAGCCCGCCCGCGCGTTATCTCAAATACCCATTGACGATGTGCAAAATATCGACACATATGTCACATGTGTATCGTTACGTAAACTAGTAAAAGAAATAACAAAAGTGAGTCACGGCAACGTACCTTTGTCCAAAGTTTAGAGCCGAACAGCTGCTAAGATTTTTCATTTCGGATATGGAACTCTTAAGTTCTGTGAGGTCGGACTTCATGGAACTGGCTTTCATCTCGGAGGCGGTCATGTGCTGCAGGCGTTGAGAGGAGCTCTGCAGCCGCTGGCTGCTGGCAGCGCTACTAGACGTAGTGCTGGATACCATCTGCCGAAGAGCAACGCACACTTTTTGTCACCATGTCTACAATATTCGCTTCCCGCCGCAGATAACGGTAGAAATGGACGATACGATTAGAATGTAGCTCATTGTATGTAAACAAGATTATTAACCTTTGCTTTGATAACAGTATCTTGTTAGAACATGTACGACGCCGCCGGCGGTCTTGCACAACGTTTTAGAATAAAGACACACAAGATCTGATAATGCGCATCGTCGTTCGCAAACGTTATCTAGGGGCGGACTGGAGTTCAGTGCCAATGCTAGAGGTACGCGCGCCGTCACGCCTCTTGGCGCACTCTCGGCGCAAGTAAACACTAATGGCAAATAGAATTAGAGGATAAAAATAACACGGCGATGTAAAAATATAATCGCCCTTCAAACACTGTAAGTACAGTACAATTATTAGCAAATGAATTACATAAAATGTAATATTTACCTTATTAAAATTCAAAAACAATAAAATTCAAATAGGACAAATTGATTTGCGTTCAAATGACACAAATTAAGTTACACCAAGATCTGAAATACGGCATATTTATAGTCGAAAATAGTTATTAATACACATGTATTTTTATTGAAATATTCGAGAAAGGATAGGAAGGTTTAATCGAGATTTGTATTGTGGGCGGGTGACGTGACTAACACGAGTGGGCGGGATGCGACTGTGACCTAGTGTATGAATGACCTTGAACCATAGACAAAACTTTAATTATTTTTAATAAATATATTATAGCTGTGATAAGTACGTACATACGTCGGAAACGGAGTGTGTTAACAATGAAAAAAAAATTTAATGCATGCCCTTTGAATTGTTACGAATATCACCTTGAGCAGTTGTTGGCCTATTCTGTTTATTTTTTTTAATTATTTGGGTATAAGAACACAACCACAGGTACGATTTTCACTTAAAATGCAAATACAATGTAAGTCAAATAATAAATTTCTTAGATTAATTAAAAAGTAATTAGTCTTAGCTACATATGTAACTAAGTACCTATGCGAGAACATAATGTAATAATATAATAATTATTTATTTCACTATAACATTACTAATTATCAAATTAATTATAGGTAAAAATATAGGTACATTTCACAGAAACTATAACAATTTTGTAACTAATTAGCTAACATCGTTTACTCCTAATTAGCACAAAATAATAATAACATCAGTTTAAAAACTCAACTGAGCATTCTTGTTTATTTCAAATAGGTTTTCCTATTTCGAGATTTCAAAAATCTATATTTAAAGAGTTTTTAACTAAACATAACAAACTCTTCTACTATGATAAAGAATTTAAAATACAGTGCCATTTTTTTTTTCTAAATAATATTTTTTGTAAATAAATTTAACCTTGGAAGTAGCACGTCAGTAGCTTTTATGGCTTCATGTTAAAGTATCTTAAGCCTTTAATTAAGTAAAGAGCAACATATCATAGTGGATGCATACCGTACACTTCAGCAAATCTATTTAGTGCTAAGTTCCATCTTGTCTGGTATCTATAAAAATCAATTGTTTTTCGTTAGTCTCGCTAAAACTCGAGAACGGCTGAACGGATTTATCTTATCTTGGTCTTAGTCTTGAAATGTGCGCGGTCTAGGTAAGGTTTAAAGGGTGAGAAAAATTGGAATAATTGCCGGGAACTAATTAAGTTTTTTTTCATTTCACACAGAGTAGCGGGCGACAACTAATAGAATTTTGAATTCCCTCAACACATTTAAACTGCGATATTTTGTCAATTAGCTTTAAAAATTAAGAAAATATTGAGAAGATATTTATTATATAGGTTAGTTTGTGGACAGTCGTTTTGTCAGTTTGTGTAACATCTCGTGGCACGTCGCGTTGGGGCTAATAACACGGATCTAGTCCTACGTTACGCCACGCTCTGCTTGGCACGATGCCAACACGCATGCGCAGTGCCCATTGCATGCGTTAAAAACTATATTCAAAATGTATCTCAATTGATAGCAAATAAAACTGTACACAACCGTTATTCAACTACCACCTATGATGTAATAACGCCCTTCTATTAAAGGAAAAAATATCCCTTTTCATAATCATCACAAATGCAAGTTAGGTATACATATATCCCGCTATGCAAGTCCACGAACTAACAATTGAATTACGATCTAAGTTAATATTAGGTATGTGGAAAATTAAGAGATTTGTTGCTCTTTCTTCTTCTTTCTATTTTACTAAAAGCAATTGCTGAAGATTTTAAACATTTAAATTCGACGTTCATCAGTCTTCTCCAAAGGTCATGTTTTAAAACGTATTTCGTTCCAGTATTGGTCTAAGCATGAAATTCAAGCCCACGCCTTTTCTTTGTTGTCAAACACAATGTCAGGTCAAAGGTGTATGCTCGTGCATTTAGATTTAGATAGTCAATGAAAAAGCTAAAATGAGTTGCGTGCTCGCAAGCGTGCTGCGTAGGCGTGCTAACACCGACACAAAGACTTAACACCTTACTGTAACGAATAAAATATTACGACCTCGAATTTTCACAAACAATAGGTAGACATCGGATATTGTACTTATTTTCAAGGCGTATACGTTTTATTTTATTTATTTTTCTCGTAACCGCGCACGCCGAATTCAAAATAAACCGGCCGTTTTATGAACCGGCCGAGGCCGAGACTAAAATAACCCAACGTCTATATTCACAGGGAACGCTATTACAACCTATAATATTCACTATTTACATTTATTGCACCCTCTTTTCAGTGTCCATTACAAGACCACCCAACTGCAGAAATAAAGCCCGAAGAAAGAATTTGATTTTAAGCCTTTAGCACACTCTTGTTAAAGCAAACCGTAAAGCGAAAGGAATGAAAACGAATTGAAAATGGAACGCAGTGTTTGCAGCCTCGATTTGTTTTTATGCTATAAGCCTAACTAACCTATCGCCATAACATATATTTCCATTCCTAGATACATTATTTATTTAATAACTGTGTCGATATATACTATATAACTACAGAACATTATGAAAAAAATCGTATTTACCTGTTGTGAGGAGGAGCTAGTGACTTGTGTGTTGAGAGTTTGGTTCTGTCTGGAGACTAAACTGCTTTTCTTCAAGTTCTCCATGACGGAGGCCAGATCCTTGGCGCTGCCGTTGTGTTTCAAACTGTTGTTGCCATCCAATTTGAATTCCGGTATCTGGAAACAAAAAAAAACTACTTTACAAATATGTTGCTATAAAATATAATCCGATTAACTTTACTAAGAACCAAGGTTACAGTCGTAAATTACATTTGTTACGTTTATATTCTGTTCCTAAAAGTCATTAACATTCTACTGGATTGTAAAATTAATGGTTAGTCTTAAGAACATCGGATACAATGAACAGATTTTAATCCTTATCCGGTGTTAGATTAGAATTAACTGTTTCGTCAAATTTATCATGACAACGGTGTTTTTTATATCTTCACTAGATGACGCCTTGTCGTCTCATCATCATCAACAGCTCACTGTACGTCCCCACCGAGGGGCTCGGAGCCTACCCTAAGTTAAGGGTGATTAGGCCATAGTCAACCACGATGGCCAAGTGCGTGTTGGTTGACTTCACACATATCTTTGAATTTCTTCTCAGATATGCGCAGGTTGCATCACGATGTTTTCCTTCACCGTAAGAACGTCGGATAAATGTACATATGTAAATCGGAAATCGAAAAACACACTGGTACATGGCGGGATTCGAACCCAGGACCTGCAGATTGCAAGTCAAGTGCTTGACCCCTGAGCCACCGACGCTCTTTACGACCTTGTCGTCTGTTCGGGATTAAATATATATAGTATCTAATTCCCAGATCTATTGAATACACATATAAAATTGCATAAAAAATCAGTCAAGCCGTATCAAAGGAGTATGGTAACAAACATTGTTTATTAGAATTATTTTGTAATTGTAGAAACTTAATTACAATTATTATATTCAATGAAATAACATTTAGTGTCGAAGACAAATTTGAGCTGAATTGAATGGTTACACAGAGTGCATTCGCTTCGAAGCGCTTCCATAGCGAACTTGAAAATTGTATGGATTTATGCGCGACATTCACGTGACTTATCGAGTTATTGTCAGTTCTATACCACCCCTCCTGTTCCCTATAATATTTTCCTTGTCATGTGAAATAATTAGTTCTGAATCTAATAATAAACGTAACTTTTTACTTAAAATAAATGTTTATAATTTTACAACTAAATAATCCTCTATTCATATTTCCGTAAATATACTTTGTTTGCGTGTCTGCACCAAATATTTGCAAGTGTACAATCGGTGAATACGACATCGTGCTTCAAGATGTGTGGACGAAAAATACCTTTTTATGATAATTATACCCCGAGCGTCGTGTTCCGAATGCCTTGGTCTCTTGTCCTTGACACAAAAAGCGTTTCAGAGCGGTTTAGACCAAACCTCTTATCATAACGGCTCATCAACACGATACCACAATTACTTGTAACCTATTCAATGTCTCATTTAGTTACAAAGTCAACACTCACTTGGTGTGAATATTAAATTATAAATTAACATTTCAGTGGTACTTAAAATATATACACTGAAACGTCTATATATCAATATTAACTTTATCAAGTCACGGACGTTTAACTCAATGCAAGTCAAACGTCCCCGAGTTGATTTTAACCAACAACATTAAAATTAATCTCGATGTTAAAACAATAACAAATGTATTTGTACTTTGTTCTCGTATCACTTTTATTACTATTCCTGGAATACGGCGACTGGTTTGAATTCAGAGCAAGGACAAATTATTGCAGTGGAACCGTTGAATAGGGTCAAAGAAACCATTGGCGGCGCGATGTGATATCTATGAGTCATTGGAGTCTCCAGTGATATCAATCACACGGCTCACGCGCCCCGCTGTCGAACGCGAAGTATCGCAACACGCATATTGATGACGCCTACACGATGCCTTCGAAACTATTCAGACGCACTACGCACAATCAAAACATGCCAATCATCCATATCAACTACCACTCGATCAATTAGTATCGATTCAACAAAGATATAAATCAATCGTATTGTCAAATTCATCAGAGATGCTCAATTATTTTATTCAAAAAATAGACATCAACGGAAATTGCCAAATTACCAATGAATTAGGTGAGAACGTAGTCGATTGAATTCGATTACAAAAAATAAATCTTATCACAAACATCCATTCCTAGAAGCTCGCACTTTATCTTTGAAAAGTTTATAGATTTAAGTACTTGCATCATTGCTTTAAATATCTTTGATTTATGTTAGTTTTATGCAATTGTTACGATACAAGTCGTAGATTAATTGGCGGTGACACGACATGATTGCTGTTACAGAAATTCCGTTCGTGGTTCGAGTGAAGCGATGTGACGCGGCCCCTGCTGATGTCATGATAACTCTGACGTTGCAGCGTCATCACCACGAAACCTAATCTACGTATAATTGATTGAATCCTGTTGTATTTTTAAAGCTGCGTATCTAGTTTCAGTTTTTCTGTGTTAGCACAAAGTAAAAACTCACATTTGAATCGAATAAAATATATTTTACTTTAAATTACGTGAAATTATTAAATCGTACAGCTATCGTAATGAACAAGGCATTGATAAAATGGCATCGAAATTATTGTGTCATACAGGATGAAACTCTTAATTGACTTAATTTTCTTGATTATTTTGTTATACAACGTATTGATTCGCATGCGTCACCTTTACTGAGTCATATCGAAAGTATGCTGTAATGTTATCAAAAAAATAGAAGAAAAAAAAAGCCATGAATAATCAAAAGTCAGTCGAATTCTCGACGAGTCACATACCAGAAGGGTGATTACATAATGATTTCATTGATAAGTCTGTTATCCTGCGATGTGATGACTAATACTTGATGTAAAAACTCGACAAGCGACGTAACAGGTCAGTTGTGACTCATAGTTCAGAGCAGTTTCGTCACATCCAGAGATGTTACATAAATTACGTTGCAGCGTGTTCGCGTCACGTCACTCCATTGAAGTGTCACGTCACGGGAACTTGACACGTGTTATGTCACGTGAGCAAGGTCTATGCGGCGAGGTCGTTGGGATCATCTCAATTTACAAAACAAACTCACTATCTAATATAGTCTGTTATAATTAAACAAAAGTAATGTAGTATGAATAATTGACACTGACATACTGCGAACTACGATAGTTTATAATCCTAATAGGAACATTATAAACTAACAGCAAATCGCAAAAAAACCAGTCACAGTTTCAGGCGTGTAAATCACTACGCAAGATCCCGTAAGATGACCCGGTCAAGGTTGCGGGAGTGTCCTGGATGCGGGTGGCACAAGATCGGTCATCGTAGCGATTTTTGGGGGAGGCCTATGGCCAGCAGTGGGCGTCTCATGGCTGAGAAGAAGAAGAAATGACTACGACAGTCTTTAATAACCTTATCTAACAACAACAAGTATCATGGAGAAAACCTCATTTTGAGATTTATCTTATTTTTTTAGCTTTCAGACTAGATTCTTAATGATTAATCTGATTAAAGATAGACAACGACTCTCCAATGACGGATATGTATGGGCAGAGACCGCTTCGCTATTTTGGCGACCTCGGATGCCGCTCATTCGTTTGCTACGATATAAATAAACGATTGAGATTCAATGGTATATTAAATTGAAGACATTTAATTGTGAAATAAATTTACAAGTAGAACTATTTTGTTTAATTTTAACCATTTAACATCCTTTCACTTTCAATATTTTGGTTTTCCGGTCTTTTTAATCTGTGTATTTTAAATATAGAACACCAAATCTGTTTTATACCAACAATATTAATTAATTATCAATATTATCAATATTAATACATGAATATAATATGTACATTGAAGTATGTACATATAAGTAGTCGTACATACAACATACAGACAAATAAAACGATTACGATTTATAAGGCTGTACACATTCTCTGCGTGCGGTCAGGCTCGATTCTACGTATTTACTTTCACAACTTTTGTCATTCATACAACGTTGCGAGTACGATTAGTGACTTTCCGGACCAGGTTGAGCTTAAAGCTCAATATTTATTAATGGCAGGGCTTTCATAGAGCTTAATGTACATTAAAAATTCTAGATTAGTACCAAATGTGCATGTTAGTGCATTTATAAATGACATTATTGTCGTAGGTCAGTTTATAGTTTAGTAACTGCAGAATCTACATACAGTCGAACCTGGATAAGCGGGAAACCTCTATGCGCGAGACAAATTGTTGGGCCCGACGGACGACCTCCATAAGCTAGAAAGTCTGGTTAGAGAGAAATATCAAACAAGTAACAAAAATAGCGGTTCTTTGGACTCGCTCTCCCATTTCCCAGGTTAGACTGTACATAAGTAATCTTACTAATATAATAAATGCGAATGTTTGGATGTATGGATGTTTGTTAGAAAGCATCTCCAGAACATGGATCTCGCTGGATTTTGGCATAGATGTAGAACATAGTCCAAAAGAACACATAGACTACGGATTAAGTTTTTCTTTTTAATTCCTTGCGGTCGGATTCGCTGGCGACAGCGAGTCAGCAAGGTTTTCAAGGTTGACACAAACATTTTTGGCAAATTGCTTTACTGTGTCCTCTTAATTGCTACAGCAAAACATACAATAGTCATTGGAAGTCTACAAAGTGGTAAAACTTTTAACGAATCCATTTTCTTCGTATATTTTTAAATTTGTCTATAGTATAGATAAGATTTGGTCGAATTTAAATTTTAGTTAATTTAAATGGTTATCGTTGACAAAGTTATTACAAACTCTCATCTTACGGAGTAGTTACAAACTCTTTCCTCACATCAGAATTGTCTTGTAGTGCCTTTTAGTTCATACAGCAAATATTTACCACACCTATAAAACTAATACCTAATTAATAAATAGAGCGTCGGTGGCTCAGGAGTCAAGTTCTTGACTTGCAATCTGCAGGTCCCGGGTTCGAATCCCGGCATGTACCAATGTGTCTTTCGATTTCCGATTTAAATATGTACATTTATCTCACGTTCTTACGGTGAAGGAAAACATTGTGATGCAACCTGCACATATCTGAGAAGTCAACCAACCCGCACTTGGCCAGCGTGGTTGACTATGGCCTAGTCACCCCTAACTTAGGGTAGGCTCCGAGGCCCTCGGTG